GGGAAAAAAAATTCAACGCAAAATAGTGATTTTTGGCAATTTTTGGAGATGTCCCCTCGTGCCATGGTAACAGAAAATTTAAGTCTGAGCATGTTGTTGCAAGGACAATGGTCCAGTCAACATTTGTGCCAAGTTTGATTAGTGTTGAAGCAGTTTTTATAGTATTATAGCAATTTGAACTTGTAACGGGAGACTTTTCAATGAAAACAGCCATTTTTCACAAAATGCTCATGAAGCAATGGGTTAACATACAAGTCAAATATCTCCCTAGTGTGCATCAACACGAAATGGTTAAGGTGTCTGACTCTCAACCAAGGGGTCGTAGGTTCGAGCCCTACTTTGGTCACATATTTCTTCATTTGACACCAGTTCTGGTTAGTTCCAAAAAAAGTACTCGAAAGTGATTTATATAAGTTGCAAGAACTTGTTTCGTAATCGAACTTAAATAAATATAACTGACACGTAAGAATACGTAAAGTAGTTCGAGTGAAGTTTGGTCGAAACTTGCATGATGAAATATACTCCTTTTTAGTTACTTTACAGAGCTTTCTAAACATTAAATCGGATTAGTGTGTACAAATGCATTGTGAAGTAACTGGGTCATATTTATGGGGAAAAGCTTTCATTTGCAAAGACAATTGCTCGGCTATTTCCGTTAAAGTTCGGATAAGAGATTATGGTTTCCGAATAGTTTTCATTAATAATTCGATATAATTATAAAATACATACTCGCCTATAACTTGTATATCGTCTTTATTTGCACAACCGATTTTAGGACATTCTTATCTGGAGTCGCACGCTCGTGTTGTAATGTCCTTGCTTTTTATTATTGTTTTATTATCTAATTCTATGTACATGTATGATTATGAAAATAAAATTTGCCTTCGCAGCTGGTAGGAATAGGATGTTACATGAATATAATTCACATTTTGTTTTATTTGCGGCGGAATGTTTTAATGCCTAACCGCAAGTTACTTAACATCTGTTACTTTTCCATTTGTCACATATATAAATATTGTTTTTGTTCATTCATAATGGATGGTTATTGTTTCAGGTTAAATACCTTAAAGGCCCATGGTTGATATTTGTTTGTTGTTTAATCAAGTTCAAAATTAGTTTAGTTAATAATAAATCACGACACACTCATTTTTCAGACAACGACATTCTCGACTTTAATGTTTTATACAGTGTCGTCGGCCAAAATTGTAAAAGAAATACCCCATCCCCGCTTTTTCATCCTCCGCCTCCACGGGAAACAAACACACAAGCGTACATGTTTCATGAAAAATTAGATAAATAGAAAGAGATTGATGACAAATAAAAAAAATGTACCGTCTGAATCCGGGACGTTTTTACGTATGGTGGTAAAAATTGTCAACAACCGGAAAACACATTAGTGAAAATTGATTAAAGCTATTTCTCCGTAATGACAAAAACTCTTCAAGGGAAAGTAACGGTATACTCGTATATATCACCGGACTTAAAAAAATAAGCGTAGTTAAAATATATTTATTAGTTTATTATCTTTAGAATGGTTTTATATTGATATGTTGACAGATTACTGTTTTTAGTTAGCGAGGTAACTATTTAGCGAGGGGGATGGCCGTTGATTTCAAACCACTTATCCCTCACCGTGGTTTTACTCAGGTGCACTTTCATGCCTGAAATAATACACGAGAGTACACCTGAGGTCAACTGTTTAGCGAGGTTACTGTTTACAGTAACGGTTAACATATGTACTCCATTTGCGTATTTTCCTTTACATTTTGAATAAAAATGTAAAACAATTATCTTACCGTCTCTTATGTGCAAATTTTATTATTAATTATTCCTATTTATGATTTAATACCATAGTATATATTTGATGATACTGACTTTTTAAATTTAACGACACTTTTGTGAAGCTCATTTAATCTATGTAATTACCTGTGCCTATATTATCTTCATTGATTTGCTCGACAACCCTTAGAATATCTACAATTTATGTTAACTGTCCTGTTGAATCCGTTATAGACAGACTACCTGTAATATTTACCTACATGCGTATATTGTCCTTATTGAAATACTCAAAGGCGCAGCTCGACATCACCTTTAATATCTACAATTTACGTAAACTGTCCGTTCGAATGAGCATGAAAGCGGAGTGCCTTTAATATTTACCCACATGCGTATGTTGTCCTCATTGAAATACACCAAAGGCCAGTGTGACAACGTCTTTAATATCTACAATTTACATGAACTGTCTTTTTGAATCTACATTTAGGTAGAGTGCCAATAAAATTTACCTCCATACGTATATTGTCCTCATTGAAATACTCCAAGGAGCAACTCGACAGCTCCTTTAATATTTACCTGTACATGAACTGTCCTTTTTTGAATCATTATGAGGGAAGAGTACCTTTAATATTTACCTGTACGTGAACTGTCCTTTTGAATCATTATGAGGAAAGAGTACCTTTAATATTTACCTGTACGTGAACTGTCCTTTTGAATCATTATGAGGGAAGAGTACTATTATTTAATATTTACCTACATCGAACTCTACGTGTCCTTTTGAATCATTATGTGCGTAGAGTACCTTTAATACTTACCTGTGTGTGTATATATAATGTCCATTTAGAAAGCGAATTACCTTTATTATTTATCTGCACGTACATATTGTCATTGTATTCACATTTATTATATATGTACTGGCACACTTTTATATCTTACATGGGAGAATAGCATAATTAACAATGTAAAAAGAAAGGATGTTGATACGTAGATGTTTTCATGTTATAACACATTCATGACAAGGTTACAAATTAAAGATTAGGGTGTCAACCTTCCACACCGGGGCATCAGTCTAAAACACGCTACTTAGCTTATCTGAAACAAATGTATACACAGCCATATAATATTATATAATAAAAGTGAATATATAATGTAGAAAGTCTGTGAATTGATATATATTGCTCGGCAGCAAAAGTGACAATGGGATTTAAAAATGTGCTAAAGGATTTTTGGTATATAAAGGATATTTTAACGGTCATTTTTGTGCCAATAATACTACTTCCGTTACTATTGGACGGCGGCAGCCCTGTGAGTATTTTGAGTATTTTTTTCAAATATTTTATTAAATTATTCAACAATATTTGAAATCATTCTCTAACGTTATTTATTACATAAAATGACAAAAAAACAAACAACAAACGTTCTGTAAACACTGCTTTTTGACTAAATTAGAGATAGAGATACTCGTAAAATGCATGTGTTAATTCCAAAAAGCAGTGTTTAATACACTTCAAATGCAAAGCAGTGTATCAATTTGAGGTACAGTTTATTTATGTCATTAATCTTATTCATGCACATTATAAATCAAGTATGCCCGTTACAAGATAATAAATACAAACGCACGGCTAAATTGTTAACTTAGAATGTGTACAAGATTCGAAGCACCGGTAGAAAAAATCGAGTTCAAATTATAATAGCTTAGAATGGTAACGAAAAATTAAAATGATGATATATAACGTTCTAGTCGCTTATTGTTTTTTTTGTAATAACCATGTAACGTAAATTAAAAGCATTTATAGTTAATACATGTACATAAATATTATAATACATTTTACAACTTTATATCTCAGAATATATGTTAGGAGAGTGAAATTAAAGTTAGCGTTTTTGAAAATAATTTTTTAACGTTTCAGTTATGTCAATGATTTCTTTTAGGTTTGAAGGCTTCCCTTATAAATAGATATGATCATTGAAATATTCAGCTATATATGTTGTTGACTAACAGACTTGGTTTTTGATCTATTCTTTAGATGTTTGTTTTTTATGTTTAGTTTTTTGGGGGGATGGGGGAATTGGGTGTTTCTTTTGTTGTTGTTGTTGTTGTTTCTTTGTATATTTTTTTTTCAATAGATAAACAATGGAAATTTTAAATTTTTATCATTTTACAAACGCAAAAGACTTAAGGTCAACAATCTATAAATCAGGGAAAACGTTCTGGTTCCTGTCCATGTAACACAGGAGTACAAGTCTTATTTAACACATAGGTGCGACATCCTTTTACTCGTATATAGTGATTTCGTTACAGAGAATTCATGTTTTTTCTAGTCTAAGTTCGTGTTACATACATAACAAGAATTATAACATTGTCGTCTGCTCTTCTTATTGAATTCACGTCTGCTTGCCCCTCGTGTGTTCGTCTGCTTGTCCCACGTGTGTGATCAAATGAAATATGTTGTATTTAATGTTATCATTCTTGACGATACGTGACACTGTTTTATTTAATGAAAATGAATCAAACTTACAATACAATTTATATTCACCATAGTCGAAATTCACAAAATGTACAAAAAAACATGTAAGAACTATGAACAAAAATAATCTGTATGAACAAACTACGGAGAATCGTTAGGGTCATCTTTGTTCCGGCGTTTTGACCGGTGAAAATCGATGCGAAATCGTTAAAATACAAACTGAAAGTTCGATACCTATCTAAGTAGCAACCACGATGCGACAGTGCGATATCTTTTCTATCATTTCGTGTCTTTTTGCATCGCATTTACGTGTTTTGGGATTGTCTTATCCCACAGACGCGCTTCTCAAATGCGAGACATTGATAGCTCTAATGGGACACCGTATCAAACAAAGTGAATGCGCATAAATTTAATTTCACATTAAAATTTTATACTAATGTAAAAATTACAGATATAATACGTTTTATCTGAAATGCAGTCGACGAAATTAAAGATAAACGGCCGATATTAAAGATAAACGTGAAATGTAAAAGATATCAACAAAAACACAAACACACAGAAAAAGAAAAGGTGAAATATGTGTGTTTTTACTTACATTGTCCTTATTTACATCGGAACTGTAAAATTGGCACATTGTATTTATTTGTATTAATTCTTTATTATAGTCTCATCTATACACATATATACATATAAAACATTTAAAACATTAATTTTGTATATAGCCATTCTCGAAAGAATTACAAGAGACTTGTTATAGCTAATACTAAGAGGGATAACTCCACAGTCCATATTATAGAAATGTATAATATGTATATTGTAGATTTACCTCCCTTATTAACGTATACATTTACATCATATAAATCAATTGCAATAGGATGACATAATTGCACATTGTCATTATTAAGTTATTTGAGACATTTAATTACAAAATTATAATAGACTTTATACATTCTAAAAGTTTGATAACCTCTACTGACCTTGTCTTAAAAACTGCCATAAGAAATTATAATATAAAATACTAAATTTTGTTATAAAAGCACTATCGCGCAATATAAAAAAAATGATTTTACAAAATCATTTGTCACTCATATTTAGACAATGGATGAACTGTTCAGTAGTGATTATCAAAACATAGGGATAAAACAACTTATTTACGCAATTAAAATATATCATATTCTATATTAAAATTTCTATGTGTTTAAAATTATACATTATAAACTGTTCACTCCAGGCAGGAGGTGAGATACAGACATTACATCACATTCTTGTTTATGAATTAAGAAATGTTCTAAAGACTAACACTTATTTAAAAAAAATAAAAATAGAATTGTCAGTGAAACAAACATACTTAAACTGTCAGTATCTGTATATATACCCCATCTCCTACATAATATGAGATAATGTAACTTTGCTTTACACTATTTACGCTACTAATACTTATAATAAAAAGGATATATGACTAATCCTGAAATGTAGTCTGTTAAACTATTTATATAAATGATTGTTTCTGGCTTTTAAAATCAGAAAGAACGTTTTGGAACTTACTTTTAACATATGTTCATTTGAGAGTACAACGTTTAATTTATCCTGATCACATAAATTGTTAAATGAGGCATCAATCTCAATAGCTTTATTAACAATATCATTTCTGAGACTCTGATACAATGGGCAATGAAATAAAACATGAACTTCATTTTCCACTGCAAGTTCACAAATCGGACATAGACGCTGTTCTTCTGGGATATTTTCATATATCCCCGTTTCTAAACGGAGGGGGGCAACTCCACATCTAAACTTAGCTAACGCAGACTTGTATTTACTAGACAAAGTTGAACATTCAACATACTTTTCAGGTTCATAAACAGATTTAAACTGCGTATACGTCCTAAGTTTATTTCTACCTCTACCAGTGGGACCCGTGACATTTTGAATACTGGTTCTCCAATCATGAATGAAAGTATCCATGGTGCACTTACTTATCTTATCACAAAAATATTTGGAAGACATGTTAATACAATCGTTTGACATATTCAATAAATTGTTTGACAATAGATGTTTCTGATACAGAAATTGCCAATTTTTGCAACTATTATTACTCTTACTGTCACAAAATCTAAAAATCTTGAAATTAATTCTCTCACTATCCATTGACTTTACTCTATGCCAATGTTGAGACACAGATCTCCACTGTTTCACATGAGGGGGTTGCCAACCTAACTCACCATAAATGGCATTAATAGGGATATATTTACCCAACCCCATAAAGAATCGCATTGCTCGACTCTGCACTGCATTTATGCAAGAATAGGATCTTGTTCCCCAAATAGATGCCCCATATGCAATAACAGGCCATACTGTACTATCGTAAAGTTTTGTGAATGCCGTATATGGCATGCTACCATAGGACTTGGACTTAGCTATAAGGAGACCAAGGGCTCTACCAGCACTCTGAGCAACATATTTCACCATGATATCAAAATCAAGCATCTCGGTCAGTAACAGACCTAGGTAAGTGTAGTTAGCAACGACTTTCAGACTGTGGTCCTCACATGTGAAACTGTATGAAGTTCTGGGAACAGAAACAGGTCTAAAATGCATGATATTACTCTTCATAGGATTCAAAATCATAGAATTCTTGTTACACCAATTATTTAACATATCTAACATAAACTGTAAATCTTCTGCGTTTTCAGCTATAAGTACAATATCGTCTGCATATAAAAGGATGCATAGTTTTTCATTATCAATACAAATACCCTTTCCGGCTGCTTTTATAGATACTGCCAGATCATTTACGAATAAATTAAATAACAAAGGTGATAAGGAGCAGCCCTGTCTTAAGCCACATTTAACATCAAACCAATCTGTATAAAAACCGTTAACCCTAACACTAGATGTAACTTGACTATATAGAGATTTCATAGCATTTATCATTTTCCCATTAACACCAATTTCCGAATTCATCAATTTGTCCCATAAAATAGTCCTATTTATAAAATCATAGGCTTTTTTGAAAACAATAAATGCACAAAAAGTAGATTTTTTGGCCTTTTTTCTAGTATCAATAATATTAGTTAATGAAGATATATGATCAATTGTACTTCTACCCTTTCTGAACCCATTTGTCATACATCTCACTCTTTAAAATATTACAAAGGCTAGAATAAGCACCGTCAATATGACTCTGATTCTGTAAACTTTGTTCAAGTTTAAAAACTGTATCATGAAGTGAAGAAACTACATCATGAGTGTTCAAAAAAGTATCTGGTACATTTTTTAAATCAAACTTATCAAAACTAACAGCTTCACATACAGGTTCTGAATACTGAGTGTATAAATTTTCACTATAATTTTCAAATTCAACCATCCAAGTTAAAATAGAGTGGTCTGGTATGGATACAGGTATAAGGCCAGTATTTACCTGAATGTTAGAAATAATTTCAGTACTTCTAATAACTGTGAAATCTTTAAAATGGTTCAAACTATCATGTGCGACTATACAATAATCAACAACAGCACATCCTTTAGCAGATATTGATGTAAAATCATTCTTTATATAATTTCGACTATTCAATAAACACATGTTACTATCTATCAGGAAATCTAATAACTTGTCACCATAAGCGTTACAAGAAAAACAAGAAAAGCATTGATGCAAAGCATCAAAGGGCGTCCAAGCAAGAAATGCAGCAAGTGAAGATGAACTAGTACACATATAATGACAAGATATTCTTATAAACTACCAGAAATGTATATCACTTATGAATGAGCGGACGAAAGACATTGTTCATTATGACCTTTGATTGACATGCTAGAGATTAGAATATTACTTGTTAT